GCAAAACAGATGGGAGTTTGTTTTAAACATAAAGAGAGGAATAAAATTTACTTATTTCTGTTGGAAATATTTATGGCTTCTTCCTAGCTATCGGCCTGAGAAATAAAAAAGGTGAAATTACAAAATTAGCCCTCAAGAGAATGAACACAATCAGTTAATTAAGTATCATATATATATATATATATATATATATATATATATATATATATATATATATATATATATATATATATATATAGAAGTATTAAAAATATAAGAAAATTTTAAATAACTTTACTGTTTTCTCAAATCTGCAAGAATATGTTGGCACTGATGACTTTGACCTTCTTAAAGGTTCTCTCAATAATGTTCCATGGGTTTGGATTGGAGATGATTTTGTAACTGTTGAAGCTCTTGCTTTTGATTCACCTGTAAAATACAATCCATACTTGTATGTTGTCCCATCTGAATTATCTGTTTTCAGAGATTTGCTTCTTGCTCTTGGAGTTCGGCTTTCTTTTGACCTTTTTTACTATGCTAATGTTATATTTATGTTACAAAAAGATGTGAAAGGGTCACCACTTTCAGAAGATCTGTTGAGTTTTGTCCTTTGTGTTCTAGAAGCTGTTTCAGATTGTCAATCAGAGAGATCAATGTTTGAATAATACTTCTTAAAGGTTCTCTCAACAATGCTCCATTGTTGGTGCCTGATTCTCGAGGGCTTCTCATGGCTGCACGGGATGTGATGTATAATGATCATGCACCTTGGTTTGATAATAATACCCCTCTGGGAAAACATATCATACAGGGTCGTTTGAATGTACTGTCGAACAAGCTTACACCTGGAGTGAAGTTCGTCTGAATGACCTCTATTTTCCTTAGTTCTACCTGGAGTGAGGTTCGTCTGAATGACCTCTATGGGGGGCAAAATGTAAAAGCTAGTAGACTCACCTATTGCTTTAACCAAAAACACCACCATTTTCCCTGAAAGAGATCCTTTCAAGCAGCTTGTCCATTAGATTTTATATGCATCAGCAACATAAACACAGCCCTAGGAACATCTAATAAAGTCAAGATCACTTTGATTCATCCAAACATAACAATAGAAACACATAAAATAGAATTATAGATAAATTTACTAAAATAAATGAGTGTATAGAGAATTATTACATCAGGAAAGCATAGCAAGGAGCCAGCTAATGAGCCTGCAACAGCCAGAAGTGCACAAAACCGGAAGTCATATATCACATGTTCAGTAGCAGACATGGAAACAAATGGATGTATTACAAGACTGCAAGAGAATCCATGGTCATTCATTATAGATAATTACATTAGGATTGATACTAATTTCATGGACTACCTCATTCTGGATGAATTTGGTGAAGAACCTCTTAGCTTTAATACTGTCACCATAGTTTTAACAGTTTCACAACTTTTTTTTCTCTCTTTGGCATTTCTACAAACACTTTATGTGCATATTTCTTAAGCATGTTATGAACCTCTACAACCCAATTGTTAGCATCATTCTAGTCAATTCCTTTCTTAGCAACCTCTCTAACTTCCTCTCTTGGGGGGTCCAACATTCCAACCTTAAAGTAAACAAATAGGAACCCAACATTTTTGCTTTCTGATACAAACCTCCATTGTTCCTCAAACATTAGTTTATGAGCAACTGTTACAATCATACATCATACAGACTAAGATTTTTCCAAGAAGGTCCGAACAATCATAATATAATCACAAAATATGTAAATAGAGAAACAAAGATATACAAATAGAAAAATAAGGATTGTGGTACCTGTTCAGCCTTAATCACATGCCAATCGGAGTTGAGGGCTTTGAGAACTGGAATCGGACCATATTTGAGCTGGTTGACCATATTTTTTCTAACATTTGTGTGCATAATACTCGAAATTCAGAAACCCTAGATGTATAAACAACACTTCGTGAACCCCATAAGAAAAGATAAGGAACTCATAATTCATGTGTGTTTGCGAAGGAAGGGGGGGAACGAAAGAGTGTTAGAATGGAAGTCTATTTTGATAAAATACAAAGATGATGATGGCGATTTGTTGACTATAACATGTACCTGTGAGCTCAGATTAGCTGAATTGATTGCAGATGGCCTTGCGCTTCCAATAAAGAACCCTATACCTAAAAATTTGACTTATTTGGGGTTTTTAAATTGCATATTGTCGAGGTTACCCCTGAGCAGGAACCACCATTGTTAGAAGAAGTAGAAGAAGACAAAGTGGAAGAAGAAAAGCCGGTTGAGATCGAGAGTATTGAAGTAGAAAAGAATGGGACCCATTCCGATTTTGAAAGTGAACAAAACCGGAAAAGGAATCTGAAAAAAATACCCGATGATCCAGATTTGAAATAAGTTGAAATGGAAGAATGATTGTTTGAATTTGCTCAGTTATTTCGAACCCTCGCACGTATTGGGTTGAGAGAAAACGAGAGAAGCAGAAGCTTGAAAGAAAATAAAACCCTACCACGTGCTAGAGAGAAGGGAGGTGGCGATGGCTTAGGGTTTACAGAGATACGGGAGGTAGAGAATGAAGGGAGATCTAGAGGAGAGAGTATCAGAGGGGTGAGTCGATTGCAAGGATGAAAAATAGATAGAAGATAGAAAAAACGAGGCGGGTTTTCAAAATTTTGGGGATTTCCTTTCCCCCCTTGTCTACTAAAAGCGCGTTTCATTAAAATTATAAAGCGACAGGTACAGACGACGCGCGTTTAAGATAAACCACCCTCCGTGTTTTTAATTTTTTTTCTTGAGACACTAAATTAAGGGCACGCAATAATGCGTGACGTAAATCCTTAAATTTTTTGGAGAGATAACACTATTTTAAGGGCACGTCCTTTTGCGTATCATTAATCAGTGCGTGTCGTAAAAAGCGCGTCATTAAAGGTCTGTTTTCTAGTAGTGATATCACCACTTATCCCTTCGGGGTAGACAAGAAAATCGACAACATCCAAATGTGTAATTTCTGGTTGATCTTCATGGATATCACTTTGAATAAAATTTGTTTCGATATTTTTCTTTATATTTTAGAGAATCTTGATAAAGATCAACAAAATGCTTTGGTAAGCGGCATGTACAAGACTAATGATCGGTCATTCCACATTAGTGACAAACATTTTCATTTTTTTTTTTTGCCTTTATCACTTTTATCATTAGGATGTGGATTTTTGTTGTTTTCCAACTTCTGGTAGTTACTTGTAATCTTGTTATTTTTATGATAATTATGATAACCTCCACGACCTCGGTTAGACTCATGACTATTAT